TAAGACAGGGTAACTATCTCTATGACCAACAAAAAACAAGTTCCAGATTAATACATGAAACAAGACAGGATAACTATCTATGAACAAATTGATTGTAGATCAATTCTTGAAACAAGACGGGGCAACTATCTACATGACGAGCATTTCCTTCAGAGGAGTTCTGAAATGCATTTCCCCTTCAGCACTTCATTCTGAAAAGCATCTCCTTTAGCGCTTCATTCTGAAAAGCATTTCCCCTTCAGATACGGAATCCTGAAAAGCATTTACCCCAGAGACCGAGTTCTGGCGAGCATTTCCTTCAGAGGAGTTTTGAAACATTTCCCCTTCAACACTTCATTCTGAAAAGCATTCTTCAAGATACAGTCAAGTTTAGGCTTGGTCTAATTTCTATCAACAATCACCTTTGGATGGCATTTGTAATCCCATCTCCGAAAACTCTCCATCATCTCTCCAAATAGAATCTTTAAGCTCATTCCCTATATAATCAACCACCACATCATCGAGTGCAAATTTCTGGGCAGCCTAGTGTTCAATTATCTTCCACCTTCAAGTCATGAATGGCGGACTCGTCAATCTAACTCTTTAGGTTTAAGAAGATTGAATAGGGGAAGCTGTTGTACCCCAAAATTTTCCTCTCACTTCTTAAGATTTTTCTTAGAAAATTCCTACGGGGTCAAGGCTGCAGAAGTACAATTGGATTTTCCAGCATCAAGTTAAAGAGGAAGCTGTTAAAAAAGGGCAAAACAGATAAAAATGATTTTTTTAAGGAACAACAAGTTTGCTTCAATTTTCCTTGCTTCGATTGGACAAATGGTTGTCTGCATGCCTACGTCGATTGGACATTTGACGCCTGCATGCCTGTTTTGATTGGAAAAGCTTTGATTGGACAAATAACTCCCTCCATGCTTGCTTCGAATTCACCTTCATGTGAGCTTCTAATCCACCTTCAACATTGGCCTCCTACATGGTGCACAAGGCAATGGCCTCCTGCATGCATACCTGCACAAGGAAATGGCTTCCCTTCATGCTAGCACCCACAAAGAAAGTGGCCTCTTGCATGCAAGCTTCGAGTGAAGCAATGACCCCTTACATGTTTGCTTTGATTCACAAAGTAATGGCCCCTTACAGTATTTGTTTCGATTCAGGAAGCAAAGGTTTCTTTACTACTTGTTTCAAATCACAAGGCAGGAACTTCCCTCATGCATTTGCTATTTTCATACTAGTTTCGAATGGACAATATCTCCCTTTGAAATAGTTTTCTTCGATTCCACCCTTAAAAATCTTCAACACACAATTGTTGTTCCATTCGAAGGACATACTTTGGTGGCCCATTCAAAGGATCTGCAAGACATACCCAGATGTCCCATTCAAAGGACATATTTGGTGGCCCATTTGAAGGACCTTCAAGACATACCTGGATGTCCCATTCGAAGGACATATTTGGTGGCCCATTCGAAGGACCTGCAAGACATTCCTAGATGTCCCCTTCGAAGGACATATTTGGTGGCCCATCCAAAGAACATGAATTTGTTGCATTCAAAGGAATATGAAAAAGGTCCACTCGAAGAACACAATTAATGTTTGGTTTATTGATGAGTCTAGTTGAAGGCTTGCTGACTAAAGTCCAATACGCTGCCAAGTCCCAAGCCTGCTACACTTGCCACAACGCTCCAAAACTGCTGCACAACAGTCCTGCTTTGCTGCTCCCATACCTGCACCAAATTGGCATACAAATACTACATCTCAAAAGCTAAAATACAACATACTCAATTTGTTAAAATTCTTTTGTTTTCCCTCCTAAACCTCAGCCAACTTCATCTATAAATAAGGGGCTGGACAATACATCCAAAGGGCTTTTGATAGCTGGAGAAACTTTGATTGTGTGAAAAATCGTCAAACACTTAACACATTCTCAAACCCAGAATCAAAAGACCACTCCCTTGTTTTTATTCCTTTCGAATCCAACACTAGAAACACAATACCTGTTTCTTTTCCCTTTCGAATCCAGGAGCAACCCCATACTTTGTTCTTTCTTTTGAATCCTGCAAAAAGAAACACTACACCTGTTTCTTTTCCTTCGAATCCAGAAACAACAAACACAACCCCACTCTTCTTGACCTTCGAATCAAGTCAAAGAAACACCAAACTTATTTCTTTCCTTCGAATTCAGGAGCACCCAGTCCAATCACTCAAGGTCTAGAAGCACCAACTTCAGAAGCAAGGTAAGTCCCCTGACCTTAACCCTTTCGTTTCAAGCATGTGCATGACATTTGTTTACTTTTCGTTTATGCCCTTTTTGTTTGTTTTTCTTGTCCAAATGTATGGTAGAACTAACCTGTATAGACCCCAAACAAAAGAAGAAGTTTTGTGTGAAACGAAGCCTCAGGCTTCACCCACTTACTGTTTCACAGTCCCAAGCGAAAGACAAAGAGGGCATAAACGGATGATGCACTCTCATGCTGCTTTGTAGGCCCATATTGCCTTACAGTCCAAACGAAGGAGCAAGAAGGGAGAAATGACGGGTGTCCATATTGACTTCCAGGCCCAATCGAAAGGAGAAACAAGAAGGTTGAATCAAAGGGCCCATCTCACGCTGGCTGCTAGTCCCAAATTGAAAGAAGCCAGGAAGAGCATAATCGAAGGGTGCATTCTGCATGGATCGAAAAACTTATGTTCCCTTTTTTATTTTGTTTTGTCTTTATATTTTCTTGCTATTCAATATGGTTGTAATAGTGTAGGATATTTATTTTCTGCATTTTTATTTCTTTATATAAATATTAGTAATTAGGATGTATGACAAGATAAAACCAACAAGTAGACAACCCTAATAAAAGACTAAATGCATACAATCAAACACACTTTGCACACATGCACCTCTAGGTAATTCCACTCGTTGCCTCGGAAAATAGTCATATCCCTCGAATATGGGAGTTTTAGCAAAGACCCTCGATAAAAGATCGTAGTCCCTCGATGTCCCTCGATGTTGCCTTTGGTAAATGATCTAGTCCCTAACGAAATTGCTAAAACGTCTCATAGGTTGCCTTCTATGATTATACAAACGACCCACACCCGTCCCTTCACATCCAACGATGGGGTTTCTTACCAAATCAATGGTAAGATAGCAACGTCTAAAGGAGGAGGAAAAGAACATTAGACCATTTGAGTAAGTAGGATGCTCATAGTTTCTTTCTTGCTCACAACTAAAAAACATTTTTACACCAACACCTTCAATTGAAACATTTTTCAAAAGACAAAACACTTTGTTCGCAATCTTATAGAGATGAGAATCATTACAAAGACACTTTTCAAAATCCCTTTCAAAAACATCTTCCACAAACACCTTTTTGAACTATTTTCAAAACCAACACTTTGTATGCATTCTTATAGAGACGAGAATCATTACAAAGACGTTTTTTCAAATTATTTTCAAACCCACACCACAAAGCATATTTTCAAACAAAGAAAGTGATCTAGCAAGCAACTAAGAGCCCGTAGATAACTACGGATGAAAATGGTGCTAATACCTCCCCTTTTCATAACTCATCCCCTGAAATCAAGAAAATAATCTCAAAGGCCTTTCCTGTTCTTTTCACCCTTTCCTTATTGGATAAAATAAAATTCAGTGGCGGCTCTTGATATCCGCAACAATTGCGATCAAACGCAAAACAACTAAGTTAGTTCTCCCACCGTGTTACACCACCTTTAATTTTTATCTTAAGGAATGGAATATAAAGGTTAACCCTAAAAAGTCATAGATTCTGGGTTTTTTGACTCGATTTTAGACTAAGGGAACTCGCCATGATTTTAGTTGTATGCCTACATATCCTCTTATGAGGAATCAGAGTCCTAATTCGTAATTCACAGTGTTTATTGGTGTTTTTTATAGGATCACATAAAATTACTTTCGATTTTATCCTTGAACCTTGTCTGAGTTTAAAAAAGAGTGATTATAGATGCAATTCACAGTTAATTTCGATAACAATTCTCCTTAATCATTTTTCAAAAATGTTCTTGAATTTGATTATGTTAGTGAAAAAATGGTTTTTTGATTGGTTAGCTATATTAAGACGTAGAACATGGGAGTTTGATATAGTCTCCTCATCATGTGGTCAGATATTGGCCACATGTCGCTCGCGGATGGAGTATTTGGTTAGTCGCGTGGATTTTAATTGTTTGATTTTGAATAATAAATCGGTAGACGATGTGTCGACCGATTTAACTGCTCGAAGATGGACGTCCTAATATTTATAAAATATTGGAATTAATTAAATTTCTAAAAAAAAAAAAATTAGTTATATACATACAACTATCTTTGGTTTATTTATAAGTTAGTGATTAGATACAACTAATTAGGTAATTATATCTACAAAAAAAAAACTATAGTTATATAACCACTAAAAGGAAATAGTTAAATTGACATGATACTGCAATAGTTTAAACAAATTAAACATACTTCTTAATTAAAAAAAAGTTGAATGTGCAAAATAGAATTGGGCTGCAAACCCATGAATAAATGCAATGAAAGATCTAATGACCCAAATCTCCAATCCTATTATTCTAAAACCTTAATTAAACACTAATAATAAAAAAAATGAAATAGCTAATAACTAATAAGAAAGTGAAAAGAAAGAAAGTAGTAATAACTTACAGTATTATGAGGCGTGTGAATAAGAACTCCTAGGATTCAAGCCCACTTTTAAAAACCTAGTTATTAATAACAACTAAAAAGTAAACAAGATAAATAAATAAATAATTAAAAAAACAAATTAAATATTTTTTTTTTTGAACCAAAAAAATTAAATATATTGATATAGTGACATAGAGATCAGTAAGTAAAACTCAATTTTGACTTTTTCCTCTAAATTAACAACCAATGGATTGTGGACAAGTGTCTAAGTTATTTACAAAACAAATTAAAAAACAAAACCATATCCATTACACCTTCAGAATGAAATAAGCAGAAACCTTCTCTTTCTTAAGCGCTTAAAAATCTTCTCCTTTCATCTTCTTTTGAATTCCTGTTCTTTTACTTGATGATTATGCAGATCCGGAATTTGTCGTAGTTCGCGGCTACGGCGATAGCGCGATTGGTCTCGCGTTGGTTGACTTCGATTAGAGAGAAGGCGGCTGCGTGGTTCTGCATGGTCTACTGATGGTGGTGATCGGCGCCGATGTGTGGTTGAGCGAAGCAGAGGATGAAGGTGGTTGAGCGCAGGGTTCATTGTAGATGATTTTGAAAACTTCCATCTTCTTCCGTTTCCTCCGCTCTAATGACCTGTTAAAAAATCAGCAGAAGTGGGTTTTGCAGCGACGGGGTGTGCGAGCTGTTTGCGGATCGGATCTGAATTCCTTCATCTCTTTTTTTTTTTACCTGCAACCAATATACAAGAAAAAACAACAACAATAATAATACGGTTCTTTCTTTTTGTTTTGATTTTCACTGTTGATTATAGTTTGTGAATCAAAGGTAGGTTTGATATGTGATTTGTTATTATTATTTGTATGTTCATGGTTTTGAAGTTTTGAATTGGTTTGACAACAAAATTTAAAAGTTGTTTGTTAGAGGCTAATGAGTAATGATGCTCTGTTTGGTGATGCATGATTATAGTAAAAAAGAATTGAATAAAAATGGTATAAATCGGGTATGAATTTATGAGTGCCCGTATATGTGAATTATCGATGAAAAGTGGTCTGTATAAGAACGGAGAATCGTAAGAGATTGATGATAATAGTTACAATATATTACTACATTAGTAATATAAAATTATTGGATGAAAGAATATAAATTGTTATACATAAACTTAATCATATTATTTGTTAGATGAAAAAAAATCGATAACCGTACAAATTATTAAATAAAAAATTAATAACATTGTAATTTGTTAGATAAAAAATATACCATCAGATAATCATCCTATGATTTAAACGCTTACAAAACAAAAATTTAAATTGAAAATAAGAGAGAGACCTCATATTAAATCATCGGTTAAAAATAAAACAAAAGAAATAGTTTTGGTAGAAAGAGTTTTTGAAACGAAATTGAAAAAGAGTTGAAAAATAATGAGAAAGTGAATTGTGAATGTGTGTGAAATTGTGAAATTCTTGATGAATTGTGGATGATCATTTAGGACAAATAAGAGTCTTATTTATAGACTTGAATTAGATTAGAAAAAACTTAGAGACTAAGTTATCCAAAAGCCTAAAAGAAAAAAATGTTTAAAAGTGTCACCCACGAGATTCAAACGCGACCTCATATTTGCATATTTGCAAGCTTCATTCCTTACCAAATCTGATATGTTACTCATTCAAAATAAAAATCCAATTGAAAGTACATGAAGATTTGTTTATTCAAAAATACAAATAATCTTGAAATAGATTATTATATTTTTAAATAGGTTTGGAAACGAATATTTATAAAAATCAAGGAATATTTATAAAACTAATGTTTAAGAATATTTTTTATTATAGAAATAAAGGGCAGACAAATTTGGGGTATGATAGAATGCAAAATGATGAAGGCTTAAATCACATCAGCACTACTATACAAGATGACTAAATAAATGAAGTGGCATAAACTCAAGAGGTGAGAAGTTCAACTAAGGGCATGAACTAAATAACTTAGGTTAACTGACTATGAAATATTTCTTGACCAAGAGATATGGGAAATAATTATCTATTTGAAGAAGCTATGATAATTGAATTTGATTCAACTGACCTCAATCAAGCCTTGAAAGATGAAAATTGACAAGATGCTACGAAGGAAGAAAAAATCATTCAAGAAAGTGATCCATAGATGTAAACTAGATACATAAGCCTAAGCTCACACCAAATGGTGAAATAGCCAAATACAAGGCAAGGCTAGTAGCAAATGGGCTTCTTCAAAGGCTATGAATTGATTTCAATGAGGTATATCACTAGTTGCAGACTTAAAACCATAAGAATTAAGGTACTCAATGCAACATTATGGATGGAGATGATATTAGAAGATTTGATATTTAGGAAAGTTGTTGGTAAAATAATTATAAAACTACGATGAGTAAACGTAACTAATTTTTCTTTTTTTGGGATTAGATATAATCGTTCAAAAGCTCATGGATCGATTGGAGTTATGGTGTTCTATGCAATTCTTCCTATACTTTAATATTGATGATTTTTATTTATTTAATGCTTGTTTTAGATTAACTACCTAAAATATGTTTTCATAGTTTTGATTCAATATTGAGTGATATTTATCATTTCTAGGTCCAAGCTTTACATCTACTAGATATTAAACTCTAGAGATAGATTTGGGTTTAATATCCCCATGAACTATTGAAGCTTAATGTTAATGTGTTTTAGATTTAGGTTTAGTATCCCCATAAAATATTGGAGCTTAATGTTAATGTATTGGTTAATAAGTCGAGAAATCGTTTATTAAATAATACGATTGATTCTCGTTTTTGACTGAGACATGAGCTATGACGTAGAGCGATGGATATTACTATTAATATATGATTATAATTGCATATTCTTGATCAAGATCACATATATAAGAATAAGTCGATGATATCTGACCCTAATAACTTTTCTCAATTGTTACCACCAAAGTTTAAATTACTTTCCGTTATATCAATTTCACAAACAAACAACTTCTAAAAAACCATTCCTAAAATCAAATTAATGAATGAATGTAAAATATTATCAATGCAAAATGTAGAATTTTCTTCTCTATATGCATACTTAACATGATGGAGCCAAATTTTCCATTATAAACCCTATTTGATATAAGTTAGGTATCTGTATCTCTTATTTTGTTATTCTGGACCACCTGTTTCATCAATTCTATAATATATTTAACTAGAATGAGTTGTATACATTAAGTGCAAAATTCTATAGTATTCAAAACTCTAATATTTTGTTAATCTGGTCCATCTGATTGCAAAGGATTCCATTCTTTTATTTCGTAATTCTCATTTCTGAATATCAATTTTGAGTTAAATGAATAGTTTTGTTTGTTTTCAAGTTTTGTGACACTACATATGAGAAATGAAATGGTCTATAAATGAAATGGTCTGAAAAAATAAGGTTGCATTGGTACATTATTGATAGTCAAGTGTTGTGTTTAGTGTCTTATAATCATTTCCATCTATAGAATAAGAATGCCCATTACTCAAACAATGGTTTGCTCTCGATTGTTGAATGGCTTATAAATGTAAGCATTTGATTTGAATATATAAAGCTACATTGTTACGGTTTAAGCATTTGATCTGAGAATTTGATTAACTAGGCCTCACTATTTACAACTTAGTTGAATTTGAATGTCAAGTTATCAATCTTTTTATATTTTATTTTTGTCATATGTTGACTCACTTTGGATCCTCTCATTTACTCTTTCCTTCTCCTTTACACAAAACAAGTGTGAGATGAAAGAAAAAATGAATTAAAAAAATCTTAAATTAAAAAAAAAAAGAGATGAAAATATAAAAGAGAGATAGAAAGAAATTAGTAAAGAAGAGAGTTTGAAAGAAAAAATTAAAGGAGAAGATCTAAACCTTACGTTGACTTGATATTTTACCTGTTAAAGCATGTAAAGATGCCTTCTTTTATAATAACATGTAAAGATGTTTTGCTAGAAATACATAAACATTCATATTCAGATTTAGTATTAGTTAGATAATATTTAATGTATTTCTTTATTTTTAATGATTATTTACTGAATTATCTAAAATATTAATTTTTTTTTTGTATATTCATAAAATTATAACTAAATTATTAAAGAGTATTTTAATATTTCTAATTGTTTTAGATAACTTAGTTATTAAGTCTATTTTATTAGGGTCTATGTGGCATTCTCTTTTGTGTATAAATAAATTAGTTATAAATATCATAAACAAGAATATTTATTCCTCTTGCAGTTTTTACAACTGTCATTCTCTTTGCTCTCTTAAATTTATTTTTTGTTCATCATTGATTCTTGTGCACTAACAAATTGGTATCTAGAGCTCCGGTTCTGATCCATGGGGAAACACAGAGAAACACGAGTGAAACATGAGGCGTTTGTGTGATTGGTTTTGGTTCTGGGTTCGTGTTGAATCTTGAACAGAATCACATTTATTTCTGATTATGTGGAGTTGGGAAATAATGTGCTTGTGAGATCTGAGTGAGTTGTACAAGGTTGAGGATGAACAAAAATGATAGTCTAAGTACCAAACTTCCTATTTTTATGGTAAGAACTAGAACAAATGGATGATTCAGATGTGCGTGCTATTTGGTGCTCAATATGTGCTTGAGCTTGTTATCAATGGCTATGTTCCGGTTGCAACAAATGCGGTGGAAGAAGAGAGAAATGAACAGAGAGACAAGAGGAAGAAAGATCAGAAGGCGTTATTCTACATCCATCAGTGTGTGGATGTGAATGTGTTTGAGAAGATTGCTGATTCGACGAGGGCGAAGAAGGCATGGGACACACTGTTCATATGCTATAGTGGTGACACATCGGGGAAGAAGGTAAAGCTTCAGTCCCTGCGAAAGCAATATGAGAATCTGAACATGAAGAACAATGAGAAGGTTTCTGAAGACATCTCTAGAGTGATTCTGATCACTAATGAGATGAAGGCTTGTGGAGAAACCCTTTCTAAACAAGTAATCATTGAGAAGATATTGAGGTCACTTATTCCTCAATTTGATTACATTATTGTAGCAATTGAATATTCTAAAGATATGGAAACCATGAGAATAAAAGAGATGCAAAGCAGTCTAGAAGCGCATGAGTTACGCATGACTAAAAGAACTTCTGAGAGGGAAGTTGAGCAGGCTCTGAAGGCTTCTTTTGTCAAGAAGGACCAGAAGCCTTATTGGTCAGAAACTAAGAATAGATGTGGTGAAAGATTCCAGAAGTCAGAAACTTCTACTTCTTATGAGAAGAAACCTCAAAAGGGTAATGAGAAGTTTGACAAGAAGAAGGTTCAATGTTATTGTTGTAAGCAGTTTGACTATTTTGCTAAAGATTGTTGTTCAAATAAGGGAAGGAGATCAGAAGAAGAAAATACAGCCAGAGGAGATTCTGATGTTGAACCTTTGCTATTGATGGCTTCTGAGTCTGATGGAAAGTGTTTGGTAGACTGATGATATATGGACACTGGCTGTTCAAATCACTTGATTGGAAACAAACAATGGTTGATAGATTTTGACTCCAGAAGGAGGAAAAAAATCAGATGACCTGATGATAAGTACCTTAATGTAG